AAAAAAAAAAAAAAAAAAAAAAGCAAGCAAGCAAGCCGTGTTCAAGAGACCCTGCAATGGAAACATCCACAATCCAAAATACTTTGCTCTAGTCCAGGAGTGAGGAGAGAAGAGTCTGGCCGAGGGCCGAGGGACACAGAAATCGGAATAGAAGAAGGGTTCAATCTGAAGGTCTTGCCAGAGGAACTTGGAAACCGTGTCAATAGAGGGAGATGACGGGGAGCCTGGACAATGAAAACTGATATTTGGAATGATGACTCTAGGGCCCTGTAAAATCTTCACTCAGCCGACAGATTCAATTATATTTACTAGATTATACTTACTGACTGCTAACTCCAAATAAAGGCTATACTTCGTTTTAAGAGCCATAGCAGTCAATTAGTGGCCATAATCAAATTTTCTTTGATAACTGAGAATTGTATAGGGCCTTGGGACCATCATTCTGAGCATGAATCTCCCTTGTCCAAGACGTTGGATATATAAAAGGAAATATATTGGGCTGAATATGTATATCTCCTGGGAGTTGTGTCTTTGCATATGTTACAGATAGCAGTTTTTTTCTTCACAATTTGGCCTTTATCCCAAAAGCTGAGATACAGAAGAAAAATCCAGTGAATTAAGTTACCTTTTACATAACCAAAAAGTGAACTTAGAAATAAATTGGAGGCTGGGCATGGTGGCTCAGTCCTGTAATCCCAGCACTTTGGGAGGCTCGATCATTTGAGGTCAGGAGTTCAAGACCAGCCTGGCCAACATGGTGAAACCCCTTCTCTACTAAAACTATAAAAATTAGCCGGGCATGGTGGCTCAAGACTGTAGTCTCAGCTCCTCAGGAGGCTGAGGTAGTAGAATCTCTTGAACCTGGGATGCGGAGGTTGCAGTGAGCTGAGATCGTACCACTGCACTCCAGCCTGGGCGACAGAACAAGACTCCCATCTCAAAATAATAAATAAATAAATAAATAAATAGGGTTTGAAGGTGAGATTTTAACACTAACTTTGTTTTCTTTAAAAAGTAATGCAGGCTAGTGGCTCATGCGTGTAATCCCAGCACATTTTGGGGCCAAGGCAGGAGGATTGCTTGAGGCCAAGAGTTCGAGACTAGCCTTGGCAACATAACAAGATCCTGTCTCTACAAAATATATACATATATATATATGTTTTAAATAAAAAGTAATGCAATGCCAGGTGCAGTGGCTCACGCCTGTAATCCCAACACTCTGGGAGGCCAAGGTGGGTGGATCGCCTGAGTTCAGGAGTTCGAGACCAGCCTGGCCAACATGGTGAAACCCCGTCTCTACTAAAAATACAAAAATTAGCTGGGCGTGGTGGCAGGCACCTGTAATCTCAGCTACTCGAGAGGCTGAGGCGGGAGAATTGCTTGAACTCGGGAGGTGGAGGTTGCAGTGAGCTGAGATCAAGCCATTGCACTCCAGCCTGGGCGACAAGAGTGAAACTCCATCTCAAAAACAAAAACAAAAAACCAAATAAACCCTGAAGTAATGCATACTTGCAGAAGAAAATAAGGAAAAATATTTAAAAA